GTGTTTTTCCCCACTGAGGACTTTTTTATAAACTTGCCTTGAACATGTGTCCACTTGTCTGCATTCATATTCTTGTGCACTCATCGCTCTCTTCAATCCCTCAGAGACACTCCCAAGTCTTGGTGCTTAGTCTTATGACAATATTAGTTCTTGAGAAAACTGTAGCCCTAGAGTAGAATCAAAAAGCTCCGAAACCTAGAGGGAATAAAAGAGTTATCGGATTTGTTTCAAGTGTTGTCGTTTCTAAGTAGCTTTTGAGGTGTTTTTTCCTTGAGTTTTTAAGGACTTAATGCAAGAAATATTCAATATTCAATATGATACATAATACTCAGCTTAAATCAAATAACAGACAAAAATGCACAAAAATGCGCAATAAATCATTAGGAGAGCTGGACATGAGTTTGTATTTTTGGAGTACTTTCCTTGTGCCTTGGTGACAGGACCAGCCACTTCCTTTGCATAGCAAATATGTAATAATTTGGTCTAGGCTCTTTTGTCCTACGCCGCACAGGTAGGAAGGAAAACCAAAACTTTTTCATGAAGGAGCCTGCTGTGCACCCCCATTTTTCTGTTTTTCCTTTAAAAGATCTAAGAGTAGAGGCTATAGGCAGGCCTTGAACCAGAAATGCAAATATCTCAAGGGAGCCTCACAAAATTAAAAGGTTCATTTAAATTGCAATCCCATACTTGGTTTGGAATAGTTATTTACTGTTTCAACAATACATAATAACAGTACATAACAGTACAACAGTAAATGGAAGGGAAAGTAAACCATGACATAACATTAGAATACTTTTTAAATCTTCTGTGCAGTGTCTGTAGGAGTTGTCTTGGTAAGTATCTTCCTTTCTTCTCAGATCTTCTAACCAAACTAAAACTTGTGTGTGGATAGATAACAAGAGGTGGCAAAAGACAGACAGAAATAACTCTCAACATAAGAAAGGGTCATTGTGGCCAGGGACACCCACTGGCAGTAAGAGCAGTCAGAGGTGCCCTTGGAACAGGCCAGGTGCACCTGCAGGAAATACCTTGGAATTACCTGTTTCCTGGGACATGCAACAGGGATGGTGCTGGCCACAGAACACTCTGGAAGAGTGTAGTTGAGGGCTTCCATGTTTATGGCACTTCTTTTAAGCTTCTTCTTCTAAGGTGAAGAGACACTTAGTGCACATGCAGTGCAGAGATGGAAACTCAATGGAGCTGCTAAAAGACTATGATTTATAAAGGACTTAATGGCAGATACTTCATAGCATTTTCTGCTGAAATGATTCCTTGTCACCCCTTTTCTGTTTTTACCCTCTTTCCCTTTTCCTGTACTCACTTGCCATAGAATTTGAATTACCATCTTCGGTAGCAAATACCAACAGTTTGGGTTAAGTAATCAATTAATTTGCAATTTAGAATATAAGCTTTAGCTATTCAAAATGTATGCACTGCATTTTTCCACAGGAATGAGAGAAGAAAATATTGTGTTTGCTAAATTAATGTCTTGCTTTTTATATCATGCACCAGTATTTGTATATATTTGATATTTTGAATAGCATCACTGATGTACAGAGGTACCCAGTCCTCTTCCATTTTCTTCTTCCCATTAAGGGTCTCAAGCAATCTGTTAAAATAGGGGGTCTGCTGATGAAAACCTCCAGCATAAAGCACAAAAGGTAGTCAGAAGTTATGTAAAAGACCAAGCCAAAACAAAACCAAGAAACTCCAAAAATCAAGGCATACCCCTAACTGGGGTCCAGGGATTGAATGATGCGTTAGCAGTTTCCAGGAAAGCTGATGGTCATTGTAAACCTTTAACTTTCTGGTTCCTTAATTATAAATAAATAGTGAAAAAAATACAACAGCAGCTACGTAAAGTCATTGCCTAGGAAGAATTACTGGCTTTGTGCCAAAAAGCCAGCGGGGCCCAAAGGGGTGGGTAATTGCCCTGTCTGCCTCTGCTGAAGTGAGGGAAAGTGTGAATACTTACACAGGCTAAGGGTTTGTCCATTGTGCTCTCTGCTGCCTTTCCTTTGTGCCAAAGATCCAAACAGAGTGCATCTCTTAAGTCTCTGTGGAAACTTTCCTGGTGTGGGACAGGAAAGACATGGTTGATTTTTTCAAGTATTGAAGCCTACTGATCTGCCCATGTGTATCTGGAGAGTCCTTTGTGGCCAAGTGGGGCTTGGGTATTACAAAAGGAGTCAAAGAAAATCAGCTGAAATCTAGCAAAGGTTGAGCAAGAAGGGAAATGGTGACCCCCTGCTCTCTACATCACTTGGAGAAGAAATGTTGGGCAGCCAGGACCTGGGAGAACATCAGTTCAACCACAACCCCGAATCTTCATATGTACCTTAGACCCTAAGCTTAATTTTTGTGGGTTTTGTGTGTTTTGCTGTTTTGTAGGTGTTTTCTATGTTGGAAAAACCAAGACTATGGTTCCTACTTGCCTCCAACACAAGAGCAGCACTCTGGCTCTTCATTTTGCATTTTCTTTTTGCACTTGTGTGTATGAAAAGGAGATTTAATCATGTTTTCCATTATTTCTTTTGAGAGTCTTAGGGAATAGTGCTAGGGAGAAACAGTGCTATTACAGATAAACTTGAAGATTATCACAGCTAGAGTTCACAAAAATAGCACACAACTGGAACTGCAGCAAGGCCTGAGGTAAGTAAGGAACAGTCAGGGAAAGAGAGAAGCTCCTGGAGTTTAATATTAGAGTAGGAAGAGATACTGAGAGCCCTGATCACCAATAGTAATTAAATGTCAAGGACTGTCCAAGAATCTGTACAGATCTTGCAAGGTGCAACAAACAAGGAGTAATTATCAAGTAGGATGATTCACTCTTAAAAATTATTAATAATTCTATGAATTTTGATGAGAATGAACAGATATAAAATATTAATTGCTATGTGATGGTTAATATATCCTCAGGTTGGGAGAGTCCTAATTAAAAAAAATTATATTCACTTTAGCAAGATTTGTTCCAGGATATGATATAATACTATTAAGTATGAGAATAGGCATTTAAATTCTGCCTGTATAAAGCATGCAGTGATAGATAGATAGTGCGGGTCCCGGATGAATTTGATCTGTCACTTGCTGGTATTTATCTGCGAGTGTTTACCATAAAAATGGTTTTATAGGGGACCTGGTTTATAGCCTACAAATAGTCTGGTGATGCTGAAGGGAACAGATGTGTTTCTGTTGCCTATAATATGAGGATCTGGGCCCCTTGAGATCAGTAATTCAAAATTATTGAGCTCAGTTTATACAGTGTGATACTCCAGTACCATCTTACTGTCAACATTTCTTTCTGACTGTAAAGCTCTCCTTGCAAAGTTTGTCACAACAACTATTTTTCTCTAGTGTTGTTGATATTGAGAACTTAAGTAAGGAAGCAAAACTCCCTATAACAGAGACTCAATAGCCTGCCTTGGTCTGTTCTGTAGTGTAATACATACGGCCATCCTTCTTTTCCCTGCCTCAGTAGTGGCACTATTTAAAACCTGTCCTGGATAGTGAAAACTAAATCTGTTGTTCCACACAGGACTGAACTCTGACAAAATGTGAGCCACGAGAGACAAATCCTGTCTAAAGTCTTGACCAGAGCAGTGAACTGTAAAAACTGTCTTTTAGAGTAGTCTGACCTTATTTCTAGGGTGCAGTTTGGAAGTGCTGCAGTCCCATGAGTATCACTAAGAGGATGAAAAGCCCATAGATTAGCAGCAGTGCAGCCTGTATACATGTGGTAATATGAGGGGAACTTCATTCCAGAAGCACCTCTGCCTATGCCTCTTCTCTACTCCTTAAAGTCCTCAAATGCCATATTTTCTCTCTCTGAGCAGAGATCTCTTCAATTTCTGCTTCTGATTACATGGGGACCAACCAAGGATGGTATGAACTTTGTTTCCGAAGTATGTGAACTTTTGAAGAGGTATGGTCTGAAATGTGAGCTACAATATGATGCAGAAAGCTTGGAATCAGATCATTCCAGGGCCATCTGAGTAATGAGTTAGCAATAGCGTCAGCTCTAGCCCAACTAGCCCATGAGTCCCCAGATTTGTGCTGCCATCTTGGGACCTGTTTCAGTAGTATCCATCTGCATTATAATCCTGCAAACAAACTTGCCATTTGATTCAGGTTTATAGTAAGTTTATTAAAATTCAAAGCCTTCTGCAAGTAATATGTATAATTTTTAAGATATTTCTATGTAAATAGTTATCTAGGGCAGGGAGTTCCTATGAGTTTGTGAAATATAGATTCCAGCCATGGCTTGTTCTTATTCAGAGAAAAGCAAACCAATTGTTTCATCTTTGTTTCACATGAGGGCAAAACTGAAGTAACTTCACAGATGGCATTGGTAGGATAAGGCTTCCACAGGGCAAGACCAAGCAGGGTTCCATTCACTGAGTTACATCAAATTACTCCACATCATCCCTTGGTGAGAATATTCACACACCTTTGTGAACTGAGCTAATAGTGCAATACTGTGTGTAAAAATAGAAGACTCAAGGATCATCTTCTGAATATGGCACTGATCAGATGATAGACTGAAGCATGAAATCAGTTTGTATAGGTTATATAGGTGTGACTGACTAACTTAGCACCTTCTTAAAACCAGCACTCAATGCAGAATGCTCTGGTCTCCATCAGCATGGAGGTCTGCACTCTCACAGCTCTGTGGGTAGTCATCCTCACTACACTGTATTAAGCTATCAGTCATTTTCCATTAAATGCCGTCCTGGTTAGGACAGCAAGATTGAGATAATATCTACATTCAGCTGTAAACACAGATTAGCAAGCAATTCAGAAAATAAACTAATAGAGTACAACCAAAAAATGAAGAAGTCTGCAGGTATTCAACCAGTGATGAATAGATTCTGGTGAGTTTGTGTTTGTTCCAAGATTTTATTACCACTTAATAAATAGGAAATAAGCAGATAGTAAGGTTTTCTTCCTTGTTACTTGCAGCATTGATGATGATTCCAGCTGGTTGGTCTTAGATGCTTCGATTATTTGCGTTTGGCAGGACGGTTTTCATCTATTCTCTTTATAGCAGCCTGAACCCATTTCTGATTAGGACTTACACAGATCTTGATACCTCTTGCAGTGATGAACCTATCAAAAAAGAAAAAAAAAAAGCTGGGCATTAAATTCTAGTCTCTATACACAGGTCTGTTCTTGGTTTTTATGCACAAAATGAGGAAAAAGGTTGTAAAACAATGTCAAATGCTGGAGATTGTAGGTTTTAGTTGGAACAACAGCAGTTAGAAACATTATTTTCCTGTTTATGATATAGGTAACATACATGGTCATATACATACAAACTGATATTAAAAATATGAAGCATACATGCTATTCTATGTTCAATCATTATGGACATTTATGTTCAATCATTAGGGACATTTATCTCCCAGGAGAAGATCCCAGATGTGATAAAAATGCATGCATCTGAGCTCAGAGGACCAAACACAGCTCCTGGCAAGACTCAGAGTTACCCCATATTCTTTCACATGATTTTTCCCCTTGACTCAGTTCATTCATGGAGCCTCTGACTGCTCTGCCCTTGTTGAGATTTTTCCCCACTCACTGGGCACAAAGATGTGAGCTGGTCAGTGAGCTTCCTGCCATTATTTATGAGCAGCACACATCTCTCAGCTCTCTGAGGCCTGCTCCTCTCTCCTCACTCCCTCAGGTGCCGTGTGGCATGGATGAACTGGAAGGGCAACCTGGACTAGCCAGATTTAGTGGGTTGGGCCAGCAGAATTGTCTTCTGCTGCCCTTTCTCCCTATTTGATGCTTTTGTCTTTGCATAAGGAAGTCTGAAGGGTGCATGAGATTCTTACATGATGGCATCTATTGGTACTTGTTGCTTTTCATAGTTCACAAAATTTCGGATGTTCCAATGCTTTGTAGACAGTTTTACACAACTGAATTTGCGCATGGGCTGACTGCTAGCGCTCCCTAGAAGAGAAAAATAGATAAATTACAAAGGTACTTAATATTAATATTTAGCCATAATTGCTTAATAAATTATGAATTCCAGAAGATTTCCAATTGTGGTTAGACCATGACGTACAGCCACAATATCAGTTATGCCAGAGAGACTAAGCTATATTTTGTGGTGCATCCTACCATCTCTAAAATGTTACTGCTATTTCAGTTAAGATATGAATCTTCACCCATTGTCCTGGACAATTGCACAGCAATTCTCTGACCAGGGAGTCACTGCTTCCATAGCAATAGAGATGTTTGGCATCCTTGATAATTAGGACTGCGTCATATGGAAATAAGTGCCCTTATAGAATTGATGCTTAGAACTGGAACTTTCCTAGATGGATTTCCACATGTTATCTAAATGTGGATTTGAAATTCCTCCTCTTTTCAAAGTGAAGAAAAGGAAAGTGAGCCTACTCCCCTCACTGTAGACATCCAAAAGTAGTATTAACAAAAATTGCTAATAGAAAGGGAAATATACCTGCCAGAAGAATAAGTGCTTATATCCTCTGGCAAAAACTCTGATTTCACAGGCAGTGAGCGAGCTGCTTCTTAATTCTTGCATTCCTCCAAGATTTTGATACAATTCAGAGAAATGCAGTGGTGATTAAGAAAGAGGATCACAATATTGGTATAAAATTTTCTGGACACTTGTTATCTTACATGATGATAAGTAAAAATGGGAGCTCACTCAATTACAATGGAGTTTACGTTAATCTCCGCTTGCCAGTTTCTGGTTTACTTCTGTTCATAGAAGACAGGTTTAGGAACACATGCAGGGGACAAAAAGTACACTGCTCTACTCTGTGGTTTGTTTATAAAGAATTTGGAGAGGTACTGGCTTGAGAAAAGTCCAAGCGCTGTTGTGGTGCACCGTGCGAAATGTAAAACCTGCTGCACACAGTCTCACTGTTGAAATAATTGGAATAGCTGAGACAAACACACAGCAGTCTTTGGAGAAGGTGTGGGATAGCCAGTGCACAGATACTGGCAGATCTGCTAATTCCTGAGATTTTGTTTGCCTGAAGGAATATCTCTCTTGATCTTGCTTTAGTAATGAGCAACACAACATAGTTTTTTTATGTTTCATGACACATTTCTTACTGCCTCAGACTGGTTTTCAAAACGTGGCAAAGACAGTCAAGCAATGGTTATGAGTCCTGGAAATATTTCTTCTGCTACTACACAACCTTCATGGAATGGATGCAGGGAATAGCAGCAAAGTTTCTCAAGACTGGGAACAAACCCCAACTGCTCTGCACCTAGAATTACCTTTTTTCCCAGGTGTATTTGGTCTTTTTTTTTTTCATTCTTTCTAGTCCTTTTTTCTCTCTCTTGTAGACCATCTCAGTGTACTTTTTTCAAACTTGGTGATACTTAGGGCCAATTACACAGCCTGGACATTGACATTGTCATCTGTGATATGAAGCCACTGTTGCCTGGATGAAACTGTGTCACTAATGAAAGCAGGAGAGGCAGTGGGTCGGCATGAAGGCTGTGTACCTTCATACCCCTGTGAATGCTTCCCAGGTCTCAGTTTGGGTTTGGTGTGATCTTGTGAGGATACTTTTTATCTATGTTTCTGAGTGCATATTTGTGGATTTGCATATGGCTTGCATATCCATGGTTTGTGTGAATTCTCCTTGTGATGAGATGACGTTTGTAATGGGTCTATGTTCATGTTTCTCCATGATCCATGGAACCTAATTTAAAAGTCACTCACCTAACCAGCACTGCAGAGAAACTTATTTAAAGCAGGGCTAATAGACATGGCTCATCTCAGTGTTCATAACTAGTTTGAAAGAAGGTGTTCAGTTGTATGAATTAGTGAAACAAGAGAAGATATTATATAAATCTATTACTCCCCTTTTCAGTTATTGTTTTACTTTCCCTGCCTGTAATAAAAGGTTTATCTAAAAACAAGTGAATAAACAATATGGAACTTATAAACAATGAAGAACTTAAAATATTGATAGTAGAAAGATTAAGATTATATACTTAGAGAAAGACAAATAACAATTAATACAATTAAGTTCATATAAAAGTAATCCATCTGGAAAAAGAAAAATGTATGTCTTATTCAAGAAAGATTTTTTTCATGAAATGTTATTAACCTACAGTACACACAGGTATATGGAATCAGTGAGACTAAAAGACATTGTGCGTTCAAGATTTTTTTGATTTTAAGAGAGAGACCATTGCACAGAAACCCTATAAGGGCTCTCAGGCACAAAATCTCTCCTTGCATTAAAGCAGAAACCAACCACCATCTGGCAGGATATCAGATGAATCCCGCATGAAGCTGACTTTCTTGCAGATTTCATCTGTATTTCTTGTGTGTTTTATCTTATAAATCAGTTGTCTGGAACAATCAATTCTGCTCATGAGACCACTCACGAGGTGCAATGTGGAGCAATTCTCCTCCTCTTTAGCTGCAAACTTACCTGTGACTGTGTGCACAGCAAAGACACCAAGCCAGAAGAGGAGCAGGATTGCTGCGGTGTGGAGCTTCATTGCGGTGGCTTCTGTTTCAAGGCAGAAAAGAAATTGCCTACTGTCAGCCCCCTTTCACAGGGTTTATATATTGTCATTCTGTGGTCTGTTCTTGTGTTCATTTTTATGCAGTCATGGAGGGCCTGACTTTAGTGGAAAATTTGAGTTTGCAGTACTTTTTCTGGTGACAGAACCACCTCCTTTCCCCCACCAGTCCTTCACTAGCCCTCCTGAGAAGGCTTTTCCTGCTCAAACCCACTGTGGTTGCACTTGCTTCTGTGCTGTGACTTGGGTTTATTTCAAGCTGCAAAAAGTGAGAGCTCTTGTGCAGTAGTGGAAACCTGTAATAAATGTTCCTGTCATTTCACACTTCAGTTTTTAGACCTTTAGCTAAGCCACACTGCAGAGACACAGTGTGACACTGAGAATTACCTTGCTGGCCAATGAACCACTGGAAAAGGGTTCCAGTGTGAGCTAAAGGATGATGGAAACAGGAACACCTTGGCTCTTTCCAAGCAGCTGTGGCTGGTTTGTCACATTAACATGGAGCTGTGGAAGGGTATTGCTGCTATTTCCTATGAGCAGTGGATGTTGTCAGGACTCTTGTGTTTGCTCTGTGATTTGATATGGCCAAAGCTGATACCACTGTGCTGGAAGAAGCAAGATTGAACACACCTTTGCATACAGATCCAGATCCACATCCAGTATGCCTCCTGCCAGTCATTACTTAACTAGTCAGTTAACTGAATGTGGTGGTTTCAAAGAGGAATAAGAGTTTGTAAATGTCATGATCTCTTTGCTTTGGTTTAGACTTTTTTGTGGTGTGAACTTTCTAGTGCAAAGAATGGGGCCCAAGAAAGTAACCAGGCAATCAGAGAGGCTCAGTTTGGAGAAGAGACAAACAAAAAATTAATTGCACTTTCATGTAAGCATGGTGCTGATAACCAGACCTGTGTCTGTGAGCCTGTTACATTTATACCTCTATCAAAAATGCCTTTTTTGCAGAGTGTGCCAACTCTATCACCCAGATTTAGGGGTTCTTTCTATTGAATGCGGTCTGAATTACTGGAAGCATTGCTACAAACCAATGGTTTTGAGCCTGCAAATATTTGTCAAGCCAGTTGTTGACCTCCAGACCACACACAAAGCAGCATCTGAACTGGCATCATCTTCCAGAACCTCACAGCAGAAATCTTCTCATGTGCTGTGAGAAAGGAAGCCCACTCCTCTTAAATTTTTAAGAATTTTAATAAATCTTAATAAGGGACAATCATAAAGCAAAAGTTTGCAGTTACAGGTCTGGGTGCATGGCAAGACCAGACGCACACCCACTTCTTCAGTCTGCAGTCTTTTATACTGTTACCGTTGTTTTACTTCCTTGGATGCTTTTGCAGGTTTATTTTGGGCTTGTTGACTACAATCTTGCTTCAGATTTTTGCAGCCTTTGCACAATTCAGTAGTTGCAGACATTGGCACTCTATGGTCTTCTGACCCCACTTTAAACTTGGTCCTCTTCCTTTTATGGTCTTCTGCTCTTCACTTATTCCATTTTTGATACACATTTTGAAATAGCAAGCATATCTTCACATTCAAGCCTGCTTACATCTTATGAAAGCCTTGCTTCCCCTTTTACACTATCCACAAACAATTAAAAAAATTATCATACTTAAAAAGCAGTTTAGCACTTACAATAATTATTTACGAACAATTACAGTTTTATAATTAACGCAAATAAATTGTCGCGAAAGCCAACTATTACATAGCCATTTATAACACTTTCCCTCTGCAGGCAGATAGAAAAACCCAGCTAGTTCTGCTAGGAATACGTAAACACCAGGCTGCTTGATGCTTGGGCTTATGAACACCTGTCAGTGCAAGGACTGGAGAAATCATGAGGGTATCTTGGTTTTGGCTGAGATGGAGTAATTTTCTTCTTAGTAGATGATACTGTTCTGGGTTTTGGATTTAGCATGAGAATAATGTTGATAACACAGGTATTTCAGTTGTTGCTGAGTAATGATTACCCTGAACCAGGGACAACTGCTAAATGTAATAGTTTTCTTAATTTTTAACAAGGTCAAGAATTTGTAACTGTAATAATTGTGATATGTACCCTGTTTCGTGACAGCAGCCCTGCTGAAGGAAAAGAAGTATGCAGTGAGCAGAAGGAAAAGAAGTATGCAGTGAGCAGAGTTTTGCCTAGTACCAAGAGTTTACATATCAGGGTAAAGGGTTTGTAGTATTGGATTTTCTCATCACATAGTCAGCTTTTAAAAAGAGAGGTCAAGATCTTCAGGAATAACTAAATTCCTCTGCACTCCTAGAAATTAGTATCTCTAGTGGATGTTCAGCAGTCCCTTGAAGTTGAATTTGTGCCATCAGGTCATTTAATCACTTCAGAAGACTAAATGAGGGCATTGGTGGCTTTTGGAGGGGACTTAAGAATCTCAGCTTAAGCACGACTATATCTCAGTTAAGTGGTTTTAGGAGGGACTTTGTCTACCTCAGGGGATAAACATCTGTTTCTATTATCTATAGAAACAGTTTGTGTATGTGTCTTATGCAGGACACAGTAAGTGAAGTTTGGAATATATGGGACCCTAATGTATTTTGATTTTACATTGTTTCTTAACTCTTGGAGTACTGGTTGAACAATTACCAACAAGTGACATCCAGTGCTGATGTTTCCATTATTTTCTTCCCTTGATTTTCATCACTTTTGCTCTGTAGTTTTCATTCTGATTTCATAACTAACTGAAATAGTAGTTGGTGTTTAGTATTTTAATTCATATCGTAATAGGGTAGAAGCAAACATATTCTCCATGCTCGCATCTCAGCTGAGAGATGACTTCTAATCTAAATTGATGGCTTCAATTGCATTTTTAATAACTACTTTGTTTTGTACTGGTTTTGGCAGAACTCCTTCTTTAGAAATGTAAACCTATTAACAATACTTTCTCTTAATCATAATTGAGTTTTTGCTTGTAGACCATCTGTTTCCACTACTACGCTGCCAGCTTTTTCCTGCCAGGTTTTCCCTGGTCCTGCCATCTTTCCTTGATGTATTATGTGCTCTTAAATAATAGTCAAAATTCAAGTCAATCAAAATCTTTTTTTTTAGTCATTCAACTGGAAGTATTCAGATATGTAAAATTACACTGAGAAGGATTTGGTTTTAAAGGGCCCAGAGATCTTTGATCTTTCTTTCATTCAGTGCTACCTGGTTTTGGTTTAGTTCAATGAGCTTGCTTGGGTTTAGCTATACACACACCCAAGATCTACAAAAGCAATATTCATATTCTCATCTTTATAATCCTAGTCCTGTGAACATTTTTCTTTGAGAAATCTGTTGTGGGAAGTCAACCCCGTGCTATTGCTGCAGAAAAACACAGAGGTGACTGTAGCTCAGTTCTGTGAAGGTATATAATATTGCGCATGCAATATTATATACAGGAATCAAATACCTTTGGAACTTTGTGGAATATTCTCAGTCCATGAAGGGATACCTTCTAGCAGCCTTCCAGTACCTGAAGGGGGCTTATAGAGAGCTGGAGAGGGACTTTTTACAAGAATTTATAGCTGTGGGACAAGGAGCTTTAAACTGAACAAGGGTAGTCTTAGATTAGATACTAGAAAGAAATTCTTTACTCAGAGGGTGGTGAGGCACTGGAACAGGTTGCTCACAAAAGCTTCCAGTGGATACCCCATCCCTGGAAGGGTACATGAAGGGTACAAGCTGCATGGAGCTTTGAGTGATCTGGTCTAGTGAAAGATGTCCCTGCCCGCAAAGTAGGGAAGGTTGGATTAGATAAAGTCCCTTCCAACACAGGCCATTCTATGACTGTATGATATGAGTATCCTTTTTCTTCCTTGTTTTTTGGAATTTTTTGTTGTCATTTCTTTTTCCACTGCCTCAACTGTCACACAAATCAGAGAATGCAAATTTTGTTTAGTGCTTCTTTTTGTGTGTGCTATATCTGCAGGATATAGGATGGGAACCAAATCTTACAGCATAAGTGCTGTTGGTCTTCAGGAGAAGAATAAAGACAGTTTTGTGAAAAATAAATTACTTTAGCTGGACCATGGATAGTCAGTGCCTAAAGCACTGGAAATGGATCAGAACCAATATGTTGTTTCTGGGTAAACCTGAGCTTTTCTCAGAAAATTGAAGAAGATCAGATACTTATGTTTCTCAGTAGGTAACAGATTTCTCAGCGATACCTCATGCTTTGGAGAGAACTTCTTGGTCAATCTTTGTATGTTTGGATTCCTTTGCTCCATGATAGTCATCACAGGGAACATGCTGAAGAGCAGCTAAGATTGTTAGTGGAAAGGGGAGTTATAGGTACAGGAACACACATCAGTGATATCTGTATGCTTCAAACATACCAGTGTGCGCTGTTATTTACAAGTATACAGACTTTTTCTTATTACTGCCATGAAATACTTCTGCCATCATATCTATTGAAGGCGGGCTGTATAATAGAGAATCACAATAAAGCACCAACGTCCAGGGAGCAGAGCAATAAGCAGAATCAGTAAGCCTGGATTCAACTTTGGGTCTTTCACCTGCTAACTTCTCTTCCCTCCACCCAATAATTGTTCCAACTCCTCAGCATATGTTTTCATGTGCCAAAGGAAACCGTGCATCCGCACTCAGCTGTCCAGGTCACTTATGCTGTCAGACCTGCTGCATATCCCTTTTCTGCTGGATTTTCCCCACATAGGAGGCAGCATCCATAGTCTTTTTGCTGTTGAGATGCTAGGTTTTGGAAAATTCATAGGGATTTTTGCCTTTTGTTTACCATAAATTGAAATTGGATTAAAATTAAAGATAGTGGATTGTCCTGGTTTGAAAAGGAAGTGAGATCTTTGGGAGTCTGGTGGTCAAACCAATAGGTGCTGAGATTTGAATATTGGCACCTGGTGTGGCCACTGAGGACATGGATACGCCTCTGAGAACAGGGCGGGTTAAAAGCAGGAACTCCCAGGGAGAAGCTCTCTTGGGTTCCAGTCCATGAAAGAGGTCAGAGCTCCCCTGCCCGGCTGTGGGCTGGGCCGGGGAGGGGAGGCCATGTGGCCGGGTGAGGTAGGCCGG